TCGCTTTCTTTCTTTCTTTGGTCAAATTTTAAAAAAAAAATAATAATAAATTAAATAAACAATTTTTAAAAAAAGAATCAGAACCAAGGGGGTCCATAATCACCTGGTCCGCTTGGTTTTGTATCTGTGGTTAGAAATGTACATGCTAGGACCTCCTCAGGTCTTTCAGACTCTGGCAGGTCCTGGTCGACTGTGGCCACGACGTAACTCTTGTGCACAGTCACTCTCTGGGCTAAGCCGTCATGTTTCTCTTGTGTGTGCGTGCTTATCATTGGAATCTTGGATCCTTGGTGATCCTTAGAGCCACTCAATACCTTTGCCCCAATTTCTCAGTTTCAGTCATTACACAATTATACACGGGACACACATGGCCACCAGACAGTTCATCTCTGACTGCACTAAGTCCAGTTTGGCTTTAACAGAAAAGTTGATCAAGTTGGTATCAACCAGGGTGTGGGAAGGTGGACCCAGCTGTGCATATCTTGAAAGAATAAGCAGGAAGAATGTTGGGAGACATCTCTTTCCTCCAGCATGCTGGGATCTTTCTTTTCTTTCTTTTTAGGTTTTTTTTTTTTAATAAAGAATGATTTTATTTAACTTTATTTATTCGCTTATTTTAATTTGACCAGAGAAGGACAGAGTGAGAGAAAGAGAGAGAGAAGGAAAGTGAGAAAGCAAGTCGCCAGGTCCAGGACTCGAACCACAGTCCTCTCAGGATTCTAGGCACACTCATACCTGCCTCCAGCGTGTTTTTCAAGTTGCTAGATCGGGGACTCAAACTACACAATTGGCTGAGTGGGATCCAGTCACCTTAACCACTGTGCCACCAGCTGGCCTAAGCCATGTTAAGATTAAGAACTTTCTAAGGGCCATGGAAGCCAGGAAGGGTGGTTCATCCTATGAGATTCAGTGCCCTCAACCACCACACCACCTGCCAGCCTCTCTTCCTCTTACTTAACCCGCTGATCTCTGAGACTAAGCATTCATTTCATGATAGCGTATTTCCTTCTTTTCTTTTTTCCCCATGGTCACACCATGATATTGTTTCTTAAAAAAAAAAAAATCTTAACATCATGATATTGTTTCTTAAAAAAAAAAAAATCTCAACATGGCAGGGCCAGCAGGTGGCATGGTAGTTAAGGTGCTGGACTTCCACATGACCAACTGCAGTTCAAGTCCCGGACCTGTCGGCTTGAAAATCACATGAGGTGAGTGTGTGAGTGCATGCCCAAAGTCCCAGGAAGAGAAGGGATTGTGGGGCGGCCATCTTTGCTGGGGAGCGATTTCTCATTTTCCCTGTCATTGTCCCTCTGTCTTTTTCCAGAAAGCATATGTACCGTATGGCAAAAACCTTCAAAAAAACCAATTGCATCTCATGATTTTAAGCCAATATATATTTTTCAAATCAACAGCTTTTATTAATATGATGACCGTACCCTGCTGCTATGTGTCAGGCACGTCATAAAAAAAAGCAAATGTGGGGCCAGCAGGTGGCATGGTTGTTAAGGGCACTGGACTCCCACATGGCTGAACACGGTTCGAGTCCTGGACCTGGTGACTTCCTTTCTCACTTTCCCTCTCTCTCTGTTTCTCATTCTGGCCTTCTCTGGTCAAATTAAAACAAATAAATAGTCAACCACGGTTCGAGTCCTGGACCAGTGGCTTACACTCACACTGAGCGCGTGTACTTGTGTGCCCAAGATCCCGAGAGGAGGATGGAGGAGAAAGGACTGCAGCATGGCCACCCACCTCAGGGGGTGATTTCTAGCTTTCTGTCTCTCTCTCTCTCTCTGTCTTTCTGGTGAACACACAAGCCCTATAGCAAAAAACGCTCCAAAATTAAATTAAATTAAGTTAAATAGAATCATTCTTAAAAAAGAAAAGAAAGCAAATGTTGGGCCTGGCAGGTGGTGTGGTGGGTTAAGGGCACTGGACTCCCACAGGGCTGACCATGGTTCAAGTCCCAAACCTGGCAATTTGCTTTCTCACTTTCCTTCTCTCTCTCTCTCTCTCATTCTATCCCTCCCTAGTCAAATTAAAATAAATAAAGTTAAATTAAATAATTCTTCAAAAAAATAAAAAAAAAAGAAAGAAAGAAAGCAAACGTGAGTGCTCCTTGCTCTTCCTGTCATGGCCTACTGGGGCCTGGTGCGGGAAGGCACCTGGGGAAGGAGCCACCCACATGGAGACAGATGGTTCAGGCCCTGGGCAGCTCGATGGCAGGTCTCTTTTCATGCCCCTTCAGTTTTAACCAGAGTCCTCTTCCTCGCCCTGTGGGAAAGCGGCAGGACCCAGTGCTCCTCAGCCAATGCAGGTGGAGGTCTCTGCCTTAAATGTTTCCATGTGACGCAGAACCCACAGGCCCACAGGCCTCTCTGCACTTCCTGTGTGGGGTTCAGACACCCGACTCCCCTCCCTGCCTCAGGTGCCTGCTTCGGAAAATGGTGAGTCTCCCTTATAAAGCTTCCCTCCTCATCTTAGCACTGGGAGCAATGGCCCCAGGGCCTTTTTCTCCAACACATGTTTTGAATAAATCTTCTGGTGTCTTTTTCAGAAGTAATAACCTGACTTGTCTCCGCCATCTTAGAAGAGGAAACATCCCATGAGAGAAAGATGCAGTCGGGCACTCTCCGGAGAGTTCTGGGTCTCTGCTTCCTAGTAGGTGAGTAGGGCGATGTTTCTCCAGACCCTTGGAAGGCCACAGCCATTCCCGGTGCTGCCCAGGGGCACCAAGGAGCCTGGATTACGAGAGGTGTAAGAAACAGTGCAGAGTCAGGGTGGGGGGCGAGCTGAAGGCTCATGGAGAGGAAAGGTGCCCCCAGTGCCTGGGAGACTCTTCACAGAAAAGCCAAAGAAAAGCCGTTGGAATGATCATATCTATTGAAAGAAAAAAAAAATCTCTCTTTTACCAAGAATAAGCTCGTCTGTCAGTGAACTTACCCAGCCCTTAAGAACTAGCACACAGAGATCAGAAGAGTAAGTTCCACTCTTTGTCTGGGGAGACCAGATGGTTGAACCCAAACTTTCCATAGTTGGTCTAGTAACTTTGAGACATTAAAACACCTTCGCATTTTCAGTCTTTTTCTGGTGGCCAAGAGTTTTCCAATAGTTTAGCCCTTTTTGAAGCAACATAAGACAGACATTGATAAATAACTAAGAGTGTTTACGTATCTCCTATGAGGTACATAGAACAAAGGAAAAAGTTATCAATTTATGAAGTGCCAGATCCAGTGTAAAGAAAAATGCCTTTTAGACGTTGACTGATTTCATCTTTACCTCCACCCTGGAGAGGTGGTGTTATAACCCCTAGTTTGCAAATGAAGAAATTGACGCTCAAAGAAATTAAATGCTTTGTCTAAAGCCACAGTTTAGTACGTGCTGCAGCAGGCCTGGGGAGCCAGGCGGGACTGTCTCCGGGGATGTGGTGTGGATGGTGGGCACAGGTGGAACGGCTCAAGATGTCTTATTTCAGAGACCTAGGAAAATGCCATCAAGCCGGGACACCCATCTCAGCACCACAGCCACGGCGTCTCCACTTTCTGCTTCATCTTGGCTTTCTTCCATCTTGAATGTGCACACGGTCATCTGAGATCTTGTTACAATTCAGCTTTACTTCAGGAGGCCTAGAGAAGGGAGACGGGTCTCCATTGCTAACCAGCTCCCAGGTGTATTCATCTGCTACCTGTCCAAAGTGCACACGGAGTAACAAGGGTTAGGATGTAACCCCTAACGGAAGTGGGCCAGGCATTTTTGTAAGGGGTCTATGGCCTAAACTATGCTTTTCCTTTAAAAAATGTGTTTTATATAAAAAAGAAAGACTCTCAAAGACCCAAGCACCCTTAGAGGTTTGGCATGATGAGAATGTGCTCTTCTGCTCTGGGGATGGAACGGTGGGGAGAGTGTCTTAACTCACATGGAGGCTGCTGATGAAAAAGAGGTTGAGGCACGCAGGAACCTTCAGTCAGTGCAGGGAAACGGGTGACGACGAGAAACCTGTCACTGCTGAGTGAGGGACTTGGAAGAGCCCCACGAAAGCGTGAGCAAGCTCTTCAACGCACAGGCTCTAGTGGACACGTAATCGGTTCTCAGATATTTCCACCTCCATCTCAAGCAGAAGACAAACGGAAAACCTGAGCCATCAGACAAGCAGGAGCCAGAGATGGAACAAGAGCCCCAACATGTGTACCCAACCAAGAGCTTGTTTTTCTGCCACAGAGACCACTTTTCAAAATGGAGGCTTCGTTGCAAAATCCTTTTGCAAAAAGGAAAAGCAAAATCCTTTTCAAAGAGCAAAAGCTCACAAAGCAGGCCCCACTTTTTCTAACTTCTGCTTGTCAAATAGCATGTGTACATTTTAACGTTAGATGCTGCCCAGCTCTGTTTCCTCCCAGCTTGCCCGCGAGCCTCTGGTCAAGACCCAGCCGTTAAGGGTCACTTTCTGGGGTATCAGAATGACTACGACCCAGCATGGCTGGGGAAGGCTTCGGGTTTTATTTGGTCAGACTGGACCATAGCCCTTTTCTGCTTGGAATTGCGGGTACCCACGCATTCACTAACTTTTTTTTTTCTTTGTATTTATTTTCTAGTTGGCGCTTGGGGAGAGGACGGTAAGATACACATTCTTTGTTTGTTGGGGAATCAGCCCAGTGCTCTGTGTATTTACGAATGGGACTGTCTCTAGCCCTTCCACAGAACTTCCACAGAATCAGGAAAACGAAGTCCCTACTGTCTTCTCTTCTGCCTCCTCCTCGGAAGTCTGGAGATATTTCTAGCTGAGGAGAGAGAAGCAGTAGAGATCGTAGGAAATAGGAAGTGTTTACTATCCAAAAGACAAATCGTTCAATTAAATGGAAAGGGCCAATAGTTTACATCTGTTTTCGTTTCGTATTTGATGTGGGATTTGCAGAGAGTGGGCGGCCAGAATGCACTCTGGAGAAGCCCCCGAGGCAACTGTGAGCATGTGTTCAGGACCACATGTCTGAGTACTCCGAACGTGTGTGACAAGAGTGGGCCTGTGTGCACACACACACGAGTGGGCCTGGCCTGGGCTTGCTTTCTCAAGCACAGTGGTAGAGTCAGGACTATTCCAACATGAGATGCCTCCTTGTTCACTCCCAACTGAGTAAACCGGTGTTGTGTTTCTTTGTTTGTCTGTTTTATTCAAGGTGTTTTTTTTTGCCACAGAGCATGTGTGCTCACTAGAGAGAGACAGAAAGAAAGAGTGAAAGGGAAAGTGTGAAATCACTCCCAGGGGGGATGGCCATGCCACAATCCCTTCTCCTCCTGGGATTTTTGGGCACACACGCACACACGTCCAGTGTGATTTTCAGGCCTCTGGGTCCAACCCCTGAACCTCCATCAGCCGTGTTGGAGTCAGCACCTTAACCACCATGTCACCTGCTGGCCGCCCGTGTTGTGTGTAAAGGTGACCTTCCGCGGCACTGCCTAACCTTAGTATCCTTAGAGGCCTTTGCTGTAAACAGCGATCAGGTATTTAATGTAAGACAGAAGGCCCAAAGAGATGCTCGCAGCCACGGGCATATGAAGATTCAGGGCTTCTTAACCTGTGGGGACAGGGTCTGATCTTGTGGTTGAGCATAGGAAGATTACTAATGACTGCTTATCATTTCCTTTTCAGATAACGACAAAACTGGTAAGAGGCTTTTCAGTGTATTCAAATGTGGAACCAATGGTCCCATGGGACAATCACAGTAAAGAACACTGACAAGTAGTACCAGGAGGGGAGACAGCTGTCTTCAACGGGATCCGTGTGAGGTGCCACCTGCTGGCAGCGGCCATGTTTGGTGATAGCTGTGCGTGCATGTATCCCTGAGCAAACCGCCAGGGAAGAACATACATGTGGGTCCCGTGTGTTTGTGTATGAACCATGAATACTCTGAAGGCAAAAATGGGGGTCTCATTCACCTGGTCCAGGGTCTGGCACACAGTAGATGCTCAATGACGTTTTTTTTTAAGTGCATAAATGAACAAACGTGTGGATGAATGCTCATTCCCTCCCCTCGGGAAGCTGTCTATTTCATGCGGGAGATGCAGAATTGATAACTAGCATGGTGCACGCTATGATGTAGGTAGGTACAGAGCGAAATGAAATATACAGAGCAGAACAGTCAACTCGACTGAGTGTGGTTGGGGAAGGATCTCTGGAGGAGGTGATTCCAGGGCTAAGCTTCAAACAAGGAGACTGTTTTTAGGGAAAAGGATATTTTAGGCAGAGGAGATAAGGTCATTTGAATCCTTGCTGGGTGGGTGTCTCTGAATAATTTACCCCCATTCTCTGTGGCATAGCATCGCTGTGTATAAAAATAGAAATAGAAATGGTACCCAGCTGGTAGGGTTGCCATGAGGATAGAATGAGCAGTTCATTTGGGGCAGAATCGTCCCCCACGCAGAGAAGGTAGTAGGTGTGTTTTAGCTATTATGATGCAGAAAGCCCTCTGACTTAGTTCTAGGCGTTGAAGTGTACTAAGCATGTACGTTCTACCTATTTCCCTAAATATTTTTGCCTGAATTTCCTCATTTAATGTTTCTAACATCCCTATTCTACAGATAAGGAAACCAATGCTTAGAAAAGAAACAGTACAATCACATATATAAATGCTTTTTACATGATACCGAAGCTCATTCTCCTAACCATTATGAAATGCCATCTCTGGGTGTGTATCAAATCTTTGTGGGCACACTTACCTCTTCACGTAGATATCCAGGCCCTTGTCTGGGTGTGTGCCAGTCTAAGCTCTAATACTGAATAGACACCAGATTTTTTTTTTTTTTACATTTTTCTCAAACATGCATATCAAAGAGGGTATATTGTCTACTTCTTTTTTTAAAAAATAATAATTTATTTATTTCATTCCATTTGTTATTGTTAGTTTTTTGTTTGTTTATTTTGTTTTGCTTTGTTTTGTTTGACCACCAGAGAGAGAGAGAGAGAGAAAGGGAAAATGAGAAAGCAAGTCACCAGGTCTGGGACTTGAACCATGGTCGGCCATGTGGGAATCTAGCGCCCCTATCCACCACACCACTGCTGGCCCCAATGCCTACTTACTTACTTCTAAATTAACTGATGACTTCTCACTGATGTCACATTTCTTTTTTTTTTTTCCTTTCTTTTTTTTTCTTTTGTGTTTTTCGGTTTTCTACACCAATGGCTCCTCCCTCAGACAAAAGAGTGAGGGTTGATCGTACTCAGAGATCATGTCAAAGAACACCACTTTTTATTGGGAGAACCATTCCTTTAAAATGTGGAGAGTGCGTCACCTCATTTACAGGTAGTAACAGAGGAAGACATGGAATGAGAAGACGTTTGGGCTCTAGTATGAGGGACTCTGTTATTTACAGGAAACATTTCTGAATAACGAGACAAGGAAGCCCAAGAGTCAGTGGTAAGGTGCCAGCTCCACGGTACAGCGGTAATGTGCTGCCCAGGAGAGGCCAGATCCCACGTGGCGACTGTGGTTTGGATCCCCCAGGCCTCATCAGCGGGACACATTCCAGGCATGCGTGCGAGTGCCCGAGATGGGCGATAATGGACTGGAGGACTGGAAGGAGGAGCTTGCAGTGTGACCAGACATTGCAGAGGGTGCTCGTTTCTTCTCTCCTCCCTCTCTCTCTCACACACACACACGCATGCACACATACTTGCATATGTATGCACACATTCTATAATAGATAAGTGACAAAAAAATGTAATACATAAAAGCAAAAAAAAAAAAAAAAAAAAAGATTAAAAGATGTGGAGGAGCTGGCCCAGCCCAGTTGCATGGTCAGTAGCAACCTGAACTGCAGTGCTGGAAGCCATATCGACAGTGCTTCCATCTCTCACTGTCTCTCTCTCTTTCTCTGCCTTCCTCCCTCTCTCAGAGACCACAAGTCTCAGGCATTAGTAAAATAAATAAACCTTCTTTAAAACATGAGAATGTCTTTATCTTTTTTTTAAGAATTTTTTTATTTCACTGTTTTTATTTATTTATTTTAATTTGACCAGAGAGGGACAGACAGAGAGAGAGAGAGAGAAAGTGAGAAAGCAAGCTGCCAGGTCCGGAATTCAAACCGCGTCGGCCATGTGGGAGTCCTGCGCCCTTAACCACCATGCCACCTGCCAACCCCCAAGGTCTTTTTCTTTAAGAAGACTATTTAGGTCTGTCTAGAATAAGATTCTGGATAATACAAGAAGTAAGCTTGAAAACTTCTAGAATTTTTCAGCCGTAAGATTTTAACATTTCCTGGGTCTCACTGGGTTTTGAGTCTAGATGCTCACACTGTTAAACACTCTCAAGTTGATGAACCAGAGCTATAACTATAAAAATCTCTCCTGGGCTAAGGCTATACCACTCCTTTGAGGCGTATGGCCCCTTCAGTGATGAGGTGCTTGCTGGGAATTCCTAGGGCCCGTGTCCAGTCCCAACACACACATTAACTGCAATGTAAACTTAAACCAGCGCATTTTCTTACCACTCTTTTCTGTTTTCATTTTCAGGTGATTCTAAACCTGCATGTGAGTTTATTATCTTTTTATTTATGCCTTTTCTGAGGATCTAGACTAGAGGGTGGAGGGGAGAAAACTGATTGAAAGTAACCCTAAGAACTAAGATCTTTCTGGTATTATAGTCTGAACTCTGATTTAATAAAGATTCCTGGGGGCCAGCTAGAGGCACAGTGGTTAGGGCAGCTGGATCCTACATGGTCAGCTGTGTGGCTCAAGTCCCAAACCTGGCAGCATGAAAAAAAGGTGTGTGGGTGGGTACCCAAAATCCCAAGAGGAGAATGGAGGAGAAGGGATTACGGCATGGCCATCCCTCCTAGGGGTTTCTTTCTCACTTTCCTTCTCTTTTTCTGTCTCTCTCCAGTAAACACAGGCTTCCTACAGCAACTTTTTCCTAAACAAAAGGTCTCGAATAAGAACTTCTCTGGGTCTTTCTCTGGTGGCATCCTCCCCTTCACCATCCCCGTGTCTGTGCCTAAACCCTGAGGCCACCTTTGAAAGGTTCTCTAGCTCCCCTCCTCCATACCCCGAGCCAGGAGAGGTCTTTCCTGACAAGCAGATCTAAGGCCTCCATGAAAGATGGTCGGTCCCGCATTGGGTGGGCTCCCCTGTCACTCACTCACTTTTCCTACAACGTTCCTGGTTCCTCCCTCTGACTTCCCTTCCCTTCTCTCCCTTTCCCCAGCGTACAAAGTCTCCATCTCAGGAATCAGCGTAACGCTGACGTGCCCTCTGGAATCGGATATAACATGGGAAAAAAACGGTAAAGAAATCCCCGATGACCATGAAAAGGTCCTAGTCCTGGATAACTTCTCGGAAATCGAGGACAGCGGTTATTACACCTGCTTCACCAATGAAGAGAAGAACCACTATCTCTACCTGAAAGCAAGAGGTAATTCTGTCCCCACGGCCTGCCCCCGGGGCTCTTCAGGGATGGCCGCTTCCGAAGGGCCTTCTCCACCATTTCCCCCTGACCCGTCAGTCCCGGGGTCGGTGCTTCCTCCTACACTCAGTCCTAGGACTCGCTGGTGCCACACTGCATTGGTGTGTTCTGGAATGCAGATTAAACACCAGTGCAGGGCTGTCCCGGTCACCTCAGTAGCATCAGATAGAAAATAGCTACTTCCAGAGCCGGCCTCAAAGCCTAGAGGTTAAGGAAAGCTGGATCTCATGCAGTCAACAACAGTTCAAATCTCAGCCCCGGTGGCTTGAGAAACATAGTGATTGCGTGTGCGAGTGTGCCCCAAATCCCAACAGGAAGGAGAAATGGAGGAGAAGGGGTTGCAGTGTGCCCATGCCCCCGTGGGAGGATGCTCTCTCCCACTCCCCTTCTCTCTGTCTTTCCGTCTCTCTCTCTGGTGAGCAAATGCACCTCTAGCAATTATAAAAATTAAAATGAAATGAAATATCAACTTCCCAAGAAATAAGATTAGGTCATTTGCATTGTATCATGCCCAGAATTAGGGCATACCAAATATGTGTGTGCCATTTTATCCGATGCTTTATCCAAGGATAAATTCTTCAGAAGGATTTACAAAGGTGACTTGAAGCCACTATATAAAATATCATAAGCTAAAACATAATAGCAAAAAAAGAATGATAGCTAACATTTACAGAGTGCTTATTAAGCTTCAAGTACCGTGTTGAATACTTGCCAGGGTTTTTTGTTTGTTTGCTTGCTTGTTTTTCTTTTTTTTTTTTTTTTATATAATCCTCTCAACAACCACGTGAATAAGATGTTATTTTATTCCCATTTCACTGATGAGAAAACAGAGGCTTATGAACTGAAAACACAGTTCATACAGCTAGTGAGTGATGGAGTTGGGACTTGAACCCAGGACTGTTTGACTCCAGAGCCTCTACTCATAATCACAACACGTTGCTTTTTTTTTTTTTTAATTTACTATAGGGCACTTACACTCACCTGAGAGAGAGAGAGAGTACCCCCAGTGGGATGGCCACACTTCAATCCTTTCTCCTCCATTCTGCTGTCAGAATTTGGGGCACGCACGTACTCCTGCCCAATATGTTTCTCAAGTCTCCAGACCTGGGACTCGAACCTCGTAGTCAGCCATGTGGGATACAGCACCTTATCCACCGTGCCCTGGCTGACCCTGGTTTTTTATGAAAGGGAGGGCTCCGGCTCTGGCAGATATGGGGTATTGAGAGGTGACTGGCCCTTGTCTGTCCCTTCCTCACCCCCAGTGTCCCCTGTCTTCTTTTCTGTGATCTCTCATCTCCCTCCCCTGCCCCCCCCCCCAGTGTGTAAGAACTGCATGGAGGTGGACCTGATGACCGTGGCCACTGTGGTGGTAATCGACATCGGCCTCACTCTGGGCCTGCTGCTGCTGGTGTACTACTGGAGCAAGAGTAAGAAGGCCAAGGCCAAGCCTGTGACGCGAGGAGCGGGTGCCGGCGGCAGGCCCCGGGGTAAGACTGTGCGGTTGGGGAGGTAGAGAGTCCTGCAAAGGGGGACGTCCAGCCGGGCTCAGAAAGGGCCGGATATCCACGGCTAGGCCCAAACATCATCTCAAGAAAGTCCACTGTGATGACGAATCTCAGTGGAGGGTTTCCCATCCCAGACCATGCTTCTTCCCACCCTGACATGGCAGAGACACTGAGGGTGTGATGGCCTTCCTGGGATGCCTGTCAGGGCTCTGCAGTGACCAGGCCCATCCCTGCTGCCAAAGTGCTAGGGGTGATAGAACCGGAGGCGTGCAAGCTGAGGAAAGTCGAGAAACGGTGACAGTGTGCATGGGGGTGAGGGAGCTTAGGGAGGGGATGAAAGAAAGAAAAAAGAAAGTACAGCCGAATACGAAACAGGGAGGAGAATAAAAGGGGGTGCCATCCTTGACCTGGGCCTTATGCCCCAGCCGGTGCTGCGAAGCTGGTGTTCCCTCATAGAAATGAGTGCTTTCCCTCCCTCTGCAGGACAAAAGAAGGAGAGGCCACCACCTGTCCCCAACCCAGACTATGAGGTAAGAGGATAGAGGGGGCCAGGAGGGGGAGGGGTGTCTTTCCAGGGGAAAGGGAATGGTCAGACCATCCATCTTGTCTGCCAGATACATTAAAACCCCTCACTCAGAGCTCCCAGGACAACCATGTGGCCAACCCTGCCTCCTCCCCTGGTAAAACAGAGCCATCCCAGAGGCTGCCTGGCTTCTCCGCCATGGAGAGGCAGGACTTGGGGAAGACATGCGCCCCTTCCTCTGGCTTATTCTCTGCTGGGTTTCAGCGGTGGAGAGTACCACGAACATGAGGCTAATGCAGATTCCGAGCTGGGTCTCCGTCAGCACCACCAGCACTATCACACCTGTTGGTAAAAAGCTAAAATGCTTCACTGGTAAATAGCCCAAGCCTCCTTCCCCCCTGCACCTGCACTCACACCCCCCACATTGATCTGCCTCTTGATTGGGGGAAGCTAAAGAGTTAGGCCTGGCCTAGCAGAGAACCACCACAGTGGTTCTGACCACTCGGTGTGCGCACGACCAGCCCTTAAATATTTTGAATATCACAGCAGGATACACTCAACAAATATGTATTTGTTTGAGCACCAGTCAACCGTGTGGTGTTGACCTTTGCAAGAGTGACTTCATTTAACGCTGACAAAGCCCTGAGGGGCAGGTCTTTCGCTCCTATTTTTGAAATAAGAACACTGAGGCTCACTGAAAGAACCAGCTCAAGACTTTTTTCTTTTAACTTTTGCTATAAGGCACATGTGCTCATTAGAGAGAGAGAGGGGGCAAGTGAGAAATCACTTCTCAGAGGGAAACGGCCACACCACAACCCCTTCTGCTCCAGTCTCCTTTCAGGATTTTGGGAACACACACATGCACCCAGAGTGATTGTTAAGCCACCAAATCCAGGACTCGAACCTTGCAACTGGCCATGTGGGATCCAGCACCTTCATCTCCACACCACCTGTTGGTGACAAGCCTCTTAGCCATTAGGACCAAGTTAAAATTTGAGCCCAGCTCCAAGTCCCGAGTTCTCTCCCAACCCCCCACTGCACTACAGCGAGGTCTCTGGAGCCTTTCCTTCTCAGCAAGTACCTCTGACCCAAGGTACTGACCACCCCCTCTCTTCCTCCTGCAGCCCATCCGGAAAGGCCAGCGAGACCTGTATGCCGGCCTGAATCAGAGAGGCGTCTGACAGCTCCCAGGGACACTGCTTCCCCGTGGCCCAGGTCTGGCCCCTCTCCAGGCACCCTGCTACTCCCACCCCCAGGGCAAGTCTTGGGCCCCACAGAACTGTTCCTTGGCTCGGTGGTGAACTCACTGCCCACAGCCTTGTCCCCAGCTCCCTCCTCCCTGCCCGTGCTGGTGACTAGCCCTGGGACACTGCTGCTTCTTTGTCCTCCATGAAGAGTCGTCACTGGTCTTTTGGTCTCGTCAGGATTCTGATTTCCCCAGCTCGCTCCTTCCCCTAAGGATGCTACTTCTGCCTACAGTTCCCTCCTGCACAGCACGTCAACTGGCCCCATCCCTAACTATTCCGCCCACCTTCCTAACCTCCAGCTGTCTCTTTGGCCGCCCTCCCTGGGCATATAATGAGTGGACGTGGACAGAGGTCCCTCCCCACTCACAGATCCAGGCCCAGGGCCAGCCCTGTCCCCACCCACACTGCCTCTGTACGTCACTAGATGGGTATTCGCCTCTCCATGAATGCGCCCGGCGCCCCTCAGCTGAGAGAGAAACTAAATAAAGTGTATTTGGCTGAAATAATTGCGGTCCCTCTTTTCCCAGAGGCCCTCAGACCACTCAGGTTCTCACCGCCTTCCACTAAAGCCCAGACAGGATCCCCTATGCGAACGCCATTTTCACGGATGATGGGGTGGTGTCTAAAACTCTCTTAAGAATGGTTATCAGGGGAAAGAAAGGAAAAAGAAAAAGAAAGAAAGAAAAAAGAGAAAGAGAGAAACTAACTTCTCTTAGAGGAAGCCATGGGGGTGGCGGGGTGGCCGGTGGCTGACGGTCCGAATGGAGCGTCAGTTCAGGTCCCAGGTGAGGCAGAAGCAGGCCTGGAAAGGCAGATGAAGGGAATGGGAGAGAAGGATGGAGGAGTAAGGGGGCTCCAGCACGGGACACGGTTCCACGAGCTGCCAGGAAGAGCTGCCCGGCTGGGCTGGGGAGGTGGAGGCAGGCTGTGGTTTGGCAGCCAGGATGTGGCTGCCTGGGCCCGGCGTATGGGGGTGAGAGCCTGAGAGCCGCGCTGCGGCGCCCCAGCCCTGGGGTGGGAGGGCCCTGCACGAAGCCTCCCACAGCAGCGCGGCTTGCGGGAGAGGAGCTGAGCGTGGGGGAGCTCAGTCCAGCTCCAGCGGGCAGGCTTGCCGCTGTCCCTTTCTGCACTCTGCAAGCTCCCTCCTGACCACAGGGCTATTTATGTGTGGGAGCGGGGATGGGGGGTGGTGGTGGGGGTGACGAAGGCCATTCGTGCGGAGGCCCCTCTGCCTTGCCTCTAGGCGTCAATATTTCTGCCCAGAAACCGTCTCTGTGACGCTGCCCATCACTGGCTGCTGATCCTTTTGTCTCAGTGTATTTGATCATGCCCAGCCCAGGGGAAGCAGGGCTCAGCTAACATGGGCTGAGCAGTTGCCGGCCTCCAGAAATTGCACTCAGCACCTTACATGCACGAACTCACTTCATTCTTCTAATTACTCCACAAGGTAGGCGTTGTTCTTGTTCTATAGTTGAGGATATGAAGACTCAGATCACAGTGAAGAGGAGCAGAGTGGAGTCCACACCCAGGACCGTCCAAGTTCAGAGCTCTGAACATTCGCCTAGTGCTGACTAATCCTACAGAACCCACGATTTTCCTGATGAGAAGGTTGTATTAGGGCCAGAAGGTGACATGGAGGTTAAGGTGACTGGAGCCCGCATGGCCTACTACGTAGTTCAAGTCCTGAACCAGGCAACTTGAAAACCATGCTGGACACAAGTGAATGCATGCCCAAAAATCTTGAGATGAGAGTAGAGGAGAAGAGACTGCAGCATGGTCATCCTCCCTGAGAGTGATGGTTCACTTTCTCT